TGTGAAAAATAGCATCCCTCCCTCCCTGATGTTTGGGAAAATGAGGTGGACGGGACTCTGCCAGCAGGCAGACACCCCTTCGGTTTCTTATTTTCTGGTGCCATCAGGTGGTCGGATTTCTTGTTTTAGTTTTTAGCAAATGATGCAAAATTTGTGGTATGAAACATTCTGCTCATTAGCGATAAATCTACACTTTTCACCTTCCAAAATTAGCAGCTCAAGAACTTTGAGATAAACAAGATAAACTGACAAAACACTTTTAAAAGCATTTAATGGTACAGAGTGGTTTCAGTATGAGGTACTTTGATTAACTTCAGTCCATCTTTCTCAGTACCTCTTTCTCCCTCACTTTTTTAAAGTTTTAAGTGGGTTTGTTGTGCACATTTTACACATATGTATGTGTCTGTATATAGACCATGTTCTTTAATCATATCCACCTTCCCATCATCCTCTCTTTCTCTCCTCTCCTCTTATTACCCCTGCTACACACACTCCTCCTTTAACCATTATAGTCTTTGGGCCTAGATTCCACAAATGAGAAAAAACGTGGTATCTGTCTTTCTGTGCTTGTTTCATCTCCCTTGACACGATGCTCTTCAGCCCTGTTCATCTCTCAGCAAATAACATCATCTTATTCTTCTTTATTGCTGAATAAAACTCCAATGTGTCTAGGTAGCACATTTCTTTGTCCATTCATTGGTTGTGGAGTGCCTAGGCTGATTCTATAGGTTGAGTGTTGTGTCTAGTGCTGCTATAAAGACAGATGCACAGTTATCTCTTTTTGCATGTTGACTTACATTCCTTCAGTATACACCCAAGAGTAGTACAGCAATATCATACAGGAATTCTATTTTCAGCTTCTTGAGGGGCCATCCCTACTACATTCCACCCACAATGGATAGGTCCTTCCCCATATTCTGATGAGCATTTGTTGTTTGTTTTGTTGATGATTGCTCTTTTGACAAGGGTAAGATAAAATCTCAACGTGGTTTGGTTTGTATTTTCTAATGACTGAAACATGTTGAATATTTCTGTTCAATATTTTTGTTAACCACTTGTAGTATACTTTGGAGAGCTGTCTTTATGACTCATGTGCTCTTTTATTAATTGGATTATTTGTTTCTTGGTGCTTAATTTTTGGAGCTACTTATATATTTTGGATATTCATCTGAAGAATAGCTTGCAAAGATTTTTTTTCCATTCTGTGGGCTGTCTCTTCATTTTAGTAATTGTTTCCTTTGCTGTGCAGTAGCTTTTCAATTTGATGCAGCTCTATTTGCCAACTCTTGCTCTTATTTCTTAAGCAATTGGGGTCCTACTCAGAAAGTCATCGCCTATGTTCCTATAGGCGTTTCAAAGCTTCAGACCCACTCAGTTCACAGGTGTGAACCACTTTCAATTGATTTTTGTACAAGGTGAGACATAGGGATCCATTTTTCTGTCTTCTTCATATGAATATCCAGCTTTCCCAACACCATTTGTTGAAGAGTCTTTTCTCTGACATAAATTTTTAGAGTGTGGTTTTAAAAATCAACCACATGCTTTTTGCTGCACTAAGATGAAAGCAAAGGACAGAAAGGATAAGACAAGTAATGCTGTCAGACAGAAGATATGATCAGTAGTTGGCAAGCGATGGTCAGCTCTGGGAAGCACATCCGCTGGATGCCAGGAGCGTGTGCCTAAGGCTGCCCTTTCCATTTTCAGGAAGGGTCTAGAAAATACAAAGGTCCACAACTAGGAGGCTGAGGTACTAGGGGGCAAGGCCAGGTACTTACAATGACACACATTCAATTCACAAACAACCTGAAAATGATAAGGTATCTTAGGCTCATTGTTGGGCTCAGAATATGGTGTTTCCCCACTGGATGGGACAAAGTGCCTGCCCAGAGTTGTGAATGATTGGTTATATATTTGATTGACAGGGCTTAGAGGAGGGCTGGCCCCACCCTCAGCCCTCCAGTGCTGCAAATTAAGATCCAGATCTCCTTGGCCAGAAGTGATGCCAAAATAAGACCCTGAGACATAGTAGTGCCAGACTGATGTGCGCGCTTCCAGCTTTCAAAAAACTTCTTGTCTGCTGGGAAAGAGATCAGAATCTGGGCAAAGAGAGGGGCTGGAGCGGAGACCTGGGGGTCACCACGGCAGCTCTACACCACCAGAAGATCAAATCACTGGACGGTGAGTGCTCCCACTGGCACCTTCCAGAAAGACCACAGTGACTCAGGCAGGCAGCCAGTCAGCTCCTTCTGCCCGGTCCCTCTGCACAGTGACTGAGCCCTCCCTGAGGGATGGCAAATTTCAGGGGTCACCTTACAGGGAGCCAGGAAGGGGGGATCCACATCTTTTGCCTACTGAGTGGTGAACTTGTTTGGGCTGAAACATCTTAAAAGGCTAAAGTGACTCCTTAGTGCTCCTGCCATTTCATGTATGTCCTCCTCCTGTTTGTGCATGTGTATGTATGTGTATTGTGTGCATAGTGTGCAGTACCCAGTCTACAAACATGAGTGTCAGCTTGGTTTGGAAATGTTAAAAAGTACCAGTAATAAATTTATAAAATTACATTGTAACAATGAGACATACAAGACATTACTTGAAAACAAACTTTACAACTTCTGGAGGGGGAGGGAGGAGTTGGGAAGGTGGGGAGGGAAGGGATGGTAGAGGAAAAACAAAGGAGGGGGTAACAATGCTCCATAGGAAATGTACTCATTACTCATGTTAGTGTGACCCCTCTGTACAGTATCTTTACAATAAAGACCTATAAAAACAAAAATAACTTTATAAAACTAGCTCCCTGTGGTATCATCTCACATCTGTGAGCACATGAAGTCCTGCCGAGCCTTTGACTGGCTGGATTTCACGGTCAGAATCAGAGCAGTCACTGGAAAGCCAGTCAATACCAGGTCTTAAGCAACATGGTGCAAAGCAGCAGTTGGGGCTGAATTTGGAAAGATAGCAGCTTTTCCTCCTGAGACTCCATGACACATTGGAGCCTCCGTGCAAGGCTCTACAAACCCCACTCCACTTCAAGGATGAACTCATGGCCCCTGCCCTTCCCCAATGCCCTCCCTCCTCTTTGCCATGGGCACCTCTGTGGACAGTGAGCGGTGATGCAGGCCAGGGAGCTCTGGAGCCGAGAAGAGGGAGGAACACCTGGGAACACAAAGGTCATGGCAGCAGGTACCCTCTGTGGCAGCCCTTCAGCATCCACGTGGAAGGGAATGCCCCAGACTCCGTAGCAATGTCACCGGGTTACTTTAGTTCTGCTCCCAGACCTTTACTTACGAATACACTCGGGTCAAGAGAGAAAGGTTAGTGAGGGCAATAGTTACACCAAGAGCCTCATTCCCTTATTTGTGCATACTTGTTTGGAAGCACAGCGGCAAGCGGGAACTGGTTTGTCCCGCTGGCCCACAGCTGCCTGCAGCCATCCCGGTGCAGGCTGGGCAGGGAGGACTCTCTGGGTGCCTGGTGTGCTGGAGTAACAACGCCTCAAGAGGGTCTTTCTCATCTTCTTGCTTCCCCTTTCCTGAGATGGGCAGTTGTAGAAGCTGCTTGGTATAGTGGAAGAGGAAGGAAAAGGAGAGTAGAGTTTGGGTGAGAAAAGCATCTGCCTTCACCTCCTGGTTAGACCAGCTCTTCCTGGGCAGCCCAACTGGCTTGCCCAGGAACCTGACTTCCCTTGGAGAGGAGGAATATGCAGAAAAGACTATAAGTAAATAAGAATGCATATTCTCACCAGAAAGAAAGAAAATGGGCAAAGAGCACAGAACAACCTACACGAGAAGAAACATGAAATGCTAATGGGCACACAAAAACCATCTAACCCTTTTGGGAAGGTGACTCAGTGGTAGAGTGCTTGCCTAGCATGCATGAAGCTCTGGGTTCGATTCCTCAGTACCACATAAACACAAAAAGCCAAAAGTAGCACTGTGGCTCAAGTGGCAGAGTGCTAGCCTTGAGCAAAAGAAGCTCAGGGGCAGTGCCCAGGCCCTGAGTTCAAGCCCCAGGACTGGCAAAAAAAAAAAGTACAACCCTCAGGAATCATTAAACAACCCAAGGTGTTGCTCCATGAGCTCTTCCCTGTATCCAGCTACTTCCCTCAGAAGGCCGGGGCTCAGGCACCCTCTGGACATCAAGAAACACTGGGTAAGGATGGAGAAGTGGTAGAAAACAAGAAGTTACACCTTGGATACCACAGGTATCCTGGGTACCACAGGTTATCCTGGGTTTGGACACTACAATCGTCTGCTAAGTGGTCTTTTCCTCCCTGAATCTCTGCTTAGCAGGGCTCCTTCCTCTCCCTCTTCCCCTTTTCTTTCCATCTTCTCCCTTCACAGCCAGATTTTCTTGTCCGGTAAGCCAAAAGAGATGACTCTCAACATGCAGTAGGGAAACACACAATCATCTATTAGTTGTACTTATGGCTGATGGATAAACTGCCAAGGGAGTAAAGCGGCTGTGATAAACTCGACGGAGGGGAAAGGAGGAATAGCTAGAGAAGACAGAGATGATGAACAAATTTCCATACACGCTACAATGGCCTTCTTTGTTTGTGCATTGGTCCTGGCTCATTGGCATATTTAAAGTAAGTGAATTGTTTTATCCTTTTCCCAATCTTGCCACTTAGATCTTGAAAAAACAAAACAAAAAACCTTAGAAGTCTCTTCTAGGAAGGCAGGAGACAATGAGGAACATGGTGGGCTTTCCTACAAAGCCAGAGAGGATGAAGAATCCGTCAGAGTTGATGGCTAGGCTTGGGAAAGGTGTCTACTCTTAGGGTCATGGAGTCTGCCTCGGTGGATGGACAGGAGAATGGGAAAGAAGAGGGGGAAACAGCAAGGTCTTTGACGCACATCCTCTCTCCTCCAGGAAGGAGGTGTGGAGAGATCCCCAGTAAAAACCGAACTCATTGTGAGATGCAGAGCAAATGGCACCCATCACTCCATCTTTCGTTTCTAACGACAGGTAGACAGGAGAAAGCTAGCCGTTCCCCAAGAATGGAGCCCTCCACCACAGCCTTGAATCCTGGGGAAGCTACACCCTCCGCCAGAAATGAATCTCTGGATCAAACAACCTGGTCATCAGAGCCAGTGACTGAGACCCTCTGGAACATGGAAAATGAATACTATCACATCTGCATATCCCAGCTCATTTGTGTGCTGGGGCTAATTGGGAACGGACTCCTCATATGGTTTCTCATCTTCTGCATCGAGAGGAAGCCATTTACCGTCTACATTCTGCACCTCGCCATTGCTGACTTCATGGTCCTTCTCTTCTCATCCGTCATCGAGCTGGTGGACACCTTCCATTTCGATGACATCACCTTGCAGAACTATGCTGTGTTTCTCGTGATCTTCGGTTACAACACGGGTCTGTATCTCCTCACGGCCATCAGTGTGGAGCGGTGTCTCTCCGTGCTGTACCCTATCTGGTACCAGTGTCGGCGCCCGAAGCACCAGTCTGCTGTGGCCTGTGCACTGCTGTGGGCTCTCTCTGTGCTGGTGTCAGGGTTGGAAAACTTCTTCTGCCTCCTGAACGAGGAGCCGAGGTTCCCGGAGTGTCGCTACGCGTACATATTTTCCTGCATCTTGACCTTCTTGGTCTTCGTCCCTCTGATGATCTTCTCCAACTTGGTCCTCTTGTATCAAGTCTGCTGCAACCTAAAGCCACGTCAACCAGCCAAGCTCTACGTGATCATCATGGCCACCGTCATCCTGTTTCTTGCCTTCGCCATGCCCATGAAGGTCCTGCTCATCATAGCCTTCTATTCCTACCCAAATAACAACGCGTCCATGTGGACTCACTTGTCCTATCTGAGTATACTGTCCGCCGTGAACTGCAGTGTCAATCCAGTCGTCTATTTTGTGGTAGGAAGCCTAAGGAGGAGGAGGAGGAGGAAGGGTAGAAAGTCCCTGAAAGAGGCACTGCAGAAAGTCTTTGAAGAAAGGCCAGCGGCAGGCTCGGATGAGAACGCTGCATGATCCTCTCCTGCCGTGGTGGAAGGGTGGATGCCTGACATTGCCCCCAATGAGGGGAAGAGGCCTCCATGCTGACGTCCTCTCCCCTCCTCCCAGGCCTCCGCAGCTCCCTGAAGATGAAGACGAAATCCCTTCATTCCTCCTGGGAATTGTCCACATGATCCACTTGTCATCGGTAACTTTGTGAAAGCTAACATTTTGATTTTGGTGTATTTTTGAGGGAAGCATACATTTGTACAGTAGAAGGGTTTCACCGTGATATTTCTATGCATGTGCACAGTGTATTTGGAACAAAGTCACCCCTCCCTCTACCAAATTACCATTGCACAGCCCCACTTTTTCACACAGTTTTGGTAGTTTTTTTTTTTTTTGGTTGGTCGTGGGGCTTGAACTCTGGGCTTGGGTGCTGTCCCTGTGCTCTTTAGCTCAAGGTGAGCACTCTACTGCTTGAGCCACAGCGCCACTTCCAGTTTTCTAGTAGTTTATTGGAGATCAGAGTCTCACGGACTTTCCTACCTGGGCTGGCTTTGAACTGAAAACCTACATCTCAGCCTCCTGAATAGCTAGGAGGACAGGTGTGAGCCACGGCGCCCAGCTTGGTAGTTTTTATGCTGTATTTATGCACACACACACACACACACACACACACACACACACACAAATACATACATCACATTCTTGGATCCTCTTTCTCCCTCTCCTTTGCACTGGTCCCTCCTAGCCAGTCTTCCGTTCACATTCCCATCCCATCACTATCTTTGTCATCATTGTCGTTGTCATCATCGTCATCATCATCATCATCATCGATATAGGTCTATAATCCACATATGAGAAGGAACATTCAACATTTGGCTTTTTGAACTTGGGGTGAGAGCTAACACTTCTAATACTTAACTTTCTGAGTATTGTTTTACTTCATCTTCTCCCCTTCCTGATGCGCCCCACCCCCACCCCCACCCCAGGGCCTGGGCACTGTCCATGAGCTCTTTTGCTTAAGGCTAGCACTCTACCACTTTGAGCCACAGCTCCGCTTCTGGATTTTGAGTGGTTAATTGGAGATAAGAGTCTTTCTTGGGCTGGCTTTGGACCATGATCCTCAGATCTCAGCCTCCTGAATAGCTAGGACGACAGGCATGAGCCACTGGTGCCCAGCTGTTTCACTTCATCTTAACAGCCCTCTGAGCCAAGTTCTTCCATCATCACAGATAAAGGACGTGGGCTCAGGGGTTGAGTAAGGTTACAGAATGGATGGAGCCAAGCTCAACTGGGCTCTAAGGAGTTCAACCCCATGCCCATCCTTGCAAGCTTAATACCTCCACAGTCTTCCAGAGGTAACACTGCAAACTGCCGTCTTCTCCTCCACTCCCACTTTCTCTCCCGAGTCTCCTTAGACCTTGTGCTCTGGATTAGCAGGAGGAATAGGAATTACTGTTGAAAACACAGAACTACATGTTAATGCTGTGTGGGTATGCACACACTACATGTTAATGCTGTGTGGGTATGTGCCAGTACTGGGCTTGAATTCAGGGCCCAGGGTGCTTTCCCTTAGCTTTTTTGGTTCAATGCTGGCCCTTTACTACACCTTGAGCCACACCCCCACTCCCTGTTTGTGGTGATGAATTGAAGATAAAAGTCTCCTAGTTTTCTGCCCTGGCTGGCTTTATCCTTCAATCCTCAGATCTCAGCCTCTTGAGTAGCTACAGGCGTGAGCCACCAGTGCCCAGCCTGATGTTAATATTTCTACAAAACTGTAATGCTGCCCTAACGAGCATTCTCATTATTCACACGTAAAGAATTTATCCTGGGATGAGTTAGGAAATAGAAAAAATGGTCCTGTGAATCCTCCAAAACTGCTCTACAGCAGTTGAAATGAAAAGGAGTTGCAAAGGGAATCATTAGAGCTTTGCTTGGGCATAGACATTTTCATGCTTCTTCCTTTCCTCCTTCCCCGTCTATTCCCTCCCTTCCTTGACTCCTCCCTGGCTAATCTCCCCCTTCCTGTATCCTCCTTCCCTTTCTTTGCTTAACATGGAATAGGTACAAACCCATGCATAAAACACAGCTATTTCTTTGCACGATGTGTTGGAACAAGCCCATGTATTTTGCAGTGCTTTGAACCCAGCTCACCCTTACATCCCCCATACCTCAAACTGCCGACTTCAAAGCACTGCCAGTTCTTTTTGGAAACATTCTACAGTGGTCCCAAAGCATCCCTGATGGACAGACATCACTACTTTAAGTGAGACACAGGCATTTGTCAACACTACTTATAGATTTTGCCCATCCAATCATTTTGGCACTGGGACAATCCTGTAGTCCAAATGATGGTCACCTAACACATTCTTAAAACTAATTCCACCCAACTGGGGGTTTAGTAAACGTTTTATGATTGGATAGCATTTAGAAGTTCAAACAAGTCCCAGGAATATGCGTTATAAGGCATGTTAGAAAATACATTTTTTATAGACACGACAATGGATTAATATCTCTTAATTGAATATTCAACTAAATTAAGCAGGCACACATTAGGGCATCAAGAGGTACAAGTGCTGAAGGGATGTTGGGTAATTTGTAATCATACACAAACAAGGGAATACAAATGATCATGAACATTCAAAATGTTTGAACTCACTAGTAATAAAATTGTAAATTACACGTTCTGGGAGATCGGGTTGTTTTTTTGTTTTGTTTTTTTGCTGGTCCTGGGGCTTGAATTTAGGGCCTGGGCTCAAGGCTAAGCACTCTACCATTTGAGCCTTACTGCCACTTCCGGCTTCTTTTGAATAGTTTATTGGAGTTAAGAGTCTCACGGACCTTTCTTCCCAGGCTGGTTTCAAGCTGCAATCCTCAGACCTCAGCCTCCTGAGTAGCTAGGATTCTAGGCGTGAGCCAACAGCACCCAAATGACATTTCCTGGATGAATTGCCATTGTCACCTTCCTGCTTGTGGGGGAGGTGTAGTTGAAGATGGCATTCAACACATCACACAGGGTCCTCCTCAAGAGACCTCAGGAACAGGAGAGAGCATGCTTCTCCTAATACCGATGGATCTGAGTCTAGCCTTTATAGCTAAGCATTTTTCTTTTTGCTCTGGCTACCAGGAAGCTTAAAAATATGCATATGATGTACCTTCTGATTCAGTAGAACTACACCACAGTAGTTTGTTTCCTAGCATGGCTTTCATTTCTTCCTCTGTTACCCTGCCCCCCCCATCCATGGGTAGCGGTGTCAGCCTTCAGTATGCACTCTGCTGGACAAACTTCTTCAATTGCAGGAGGAAGGATAAGTAAATATAAGTTGAGTCAAAATATCAGAAGAAACTTTCATAAACTTTTTGGGAAAAGTCTGGAATTCCCAGGTTAGCTCTGCGAGCTGTACACCAAGACTATTTATCCTTCTCCTTATACTGATTCTGGGTTGGTTTTAGGGCAAATGGCTTATGTTCAATACTATTTGGGAGATCAAATAGGCAAAAAAGTCAAATTATCCCCGTTTAGATGAAATGATCCTATACTGAATGGACCCTATAGACTCCACCAAAAAATGTACAGATCTGCTGAACACCTCTGGTATTGCAGTGGGATATAGAATGACTTAAACCATTCTTCACAGATCACTTTTAGGTTGTAGAGTCACTTATTTACTAACGGTGCTCTTAGTTTACAGACATGATATTACAAGAGGACATTACTGTTTCTGGTCTGTGTAACTCTTTCTTCTAGTCCCAGTATTTAAAACCTTTTTTGCCTCTTCCCGTTGTAGAAAACATAGAGCACATAGTCCTGCACCGATGGCCACCAGAGCTCAGGCAGGGGCGGGGTTGTGTACTGTCATGTTCTCCCAGCCAGGAGCTCATTCACTCACTCAGTGTTCACTGAGTCCCTGCAAGTGTCAGACACTGAGAAACTGGGGGGTTAAAAAACAGAGGAAACAGAGAGACATTGGGTATTCTGCCGAATGTAGCCATCAGGATTGGCCTGTCTGTAGAATTAGCATCTGAGCAAAAAGCAAAGTGAATCAAGAATGTGGCTTTGAATCTAGCAATCCAGAAATGAACATTGCAGCTGTGGCAGCATCTACACACCCTGAAGGGGCTGTGGCCAGTCTGAGACGGGGCAGAATGGGCATGGATGTGGTGGTGGTGGTGGTGGTGATGATGATGATGCCGACATTAACAACACTGACCACGCTGACCACAGTGGAATGAAACCTGTCTGTCCAAAGATGGCTCCATCAGGAAAAATGAATTACTCAAATCAAAGTGGGGAGAAGGGAATAAATACTGCTTTCCCACTGCTAGGTTATGGATCCTGTTTGAGTGTCTCCAAAGGGCATATTGTAACTGAAGGCGCAGCAGGCCAACCGGTGCCATCAGAAGGTGCTGGCACCAGCTGGGAGGTCTTAGGTCACCGACAGGCCCTTGGGGGGGTCTAGGAACCAGGCTCTATCATCGTCTCTCTGCTCCTTCTCAAGCGGTGACAGCTGTCTCCCCGTCATACGGCATTCCCACAGGATCCCAAACCAATGTCCCCCCACCTTGGACATGGAACCCCCCAACATGTGGGCTCAATAAATCTTTTCCTTTCTTAAGTGTCCCCCACTTGGGTATTACGTTGTAGCAATGCAAAGCTCACTAATAGACCCCATTTTGCCCTGCCTTGGTGTAGAAGAAAGGGCACACGGTCAGAGTCGCCAAGCACAAATTCAATATAATTTACTGAAACATTAAGAAAATAAATTTCTTGTCAGTAGTCAGTTGGCAAGAATTGTCATTTTTGTTGTTGTTTCCTCATTTGTAAAATGACAATGACAAGGTAACAGAAGTAACAGGGAGACTTCTAAGCGGAGGCCCGTGCTCCTCTGGCTGTGTCCTCCAGCCATCCAACTTAAGGCTATTGTCCCAGGGGACAGTAGGTCACAGGCTTAACCCAAAAGGTCACATTCCTGGCTTCTGAGCTTATAAATTTAGGAAGAATTTTGGAAAGGGAGCAGAGGGGACTGTAT